CTCAACAATATTCTCTCTCCGCAGTTCAATTACACAAATTCTCCCGTCACGTTGTGACCGTCTTATATATACTAGACTAACACATATCTAGTAAACGCTAGAGCATTCATGAAGGAACGGGATATTTCTAAAAGGACGTGGCGTGATACTAGTCACGTGACCTTCTGACGCAACAATATCTATGGTTATAGACGTGTACAAAACTGGTAGTTACGGTATTGTTGGGTACAATAGTCTCGTGCACAGCAGTAAAGTGCGATAGGCCTAATTTGACGTTGTTATTTCTCAAAATTAAATTTCATCTTAACGATTCCAGCAGTAAATAATAATATAACGGATATACTTTCTTCCGTTGTCAACTCAATTGGCCATGTATTAAGATTTAAAGAGCCTGGAAAAACATATAACTTTAGCTACATTGTCGACAAAGCTGCAGTAAGCTATACTTACCTTATGCATATTATTACACCAAGCTCCGCCCTCAAATGCAGTGATCTTCAAAATAGTAACTTATTTTATCTCAGTGTTATCAGGGTGGTTATCCAATCACTTTTTGTGCATTTGTACAGGAGTATGTTTTACGCAAAAAGATACTACTTTCGTTATAATGTTTTTTTTTACGAATAAAGACACAATATGCTATCTGTACTATGTCCTTGCAGGAATCAAACATTTAATTTTAGCGTTATTAGCCCTCAAACTTACCGACGACCCTCTGGGGCGCAATTTAATATCTCTAGTATACTGCTACGACAGCGGAATTCACGTGACGCTGGTAACTCGTGAAGGCTCGAGCGTTTACTAGACGCACGCTCTTATTGTATATAAGCCGGCAAATAAAGTGACGGCGGGGATAACTGTATAGCAGACAGAGAGATTGAAGATATAGACGGTCAATTGAGTCAAGCGCGGTAGTAAGTAAAGTGCGTGAATCGTTCGTTGTAAATTATAGCGTGTGTTGAAGTTAAGGTGACTGTGGAAATTAAGTGTATTGCAAATTTGAATTGAGAAAGAATAAACTAGTTTTATTTGAGAAAGGTCTTGTATCGCTGAAGTTCTTCGGAATGAATTTTTACGAGTAATTAACAAACGACCAGAGACGTAACAATACTAACAAAATGAAATAAAATGATTTGGTCTTTTGTGTCAGTGATAATTTGATTTATGATGATAGATTACTCCAATTTTTTGAAAGAGTAAAGATGACTCTATTTTTTTCTTATAACGGCATAAACGTCTTTATTAGTAAACTGAGGTGACTTCAACAGATGTCTGGAAGATACGATTAATACATGAGCTCAAAGTTCATTTTTAGTGGAAATCTAGGCAGATGTTTCAAGAGACAGAGATAAACATTGTACAAGATAAAGTATTGTAACTATATAAGAAAGAAGGAACTAGATATAAATGTTATGTTAGTGGTATACTAGTTCATGAAATATATATTTTTTAAAGATAGATTCTTAGCGCGGCATTAGAAGAAGAAAAGCATTGTTGTGGAAGAAGAAAATATTCTATTGTCTACCAGGTGTGAAACTAATATTAAATCCTTTCTGTGTTAAAGTATTTATTTTGTTTTCTTTCTTAAGACTTTAATATATCCGACAGCTAAAAAACAATTTCGGAAAAATCGAGTTTATTTCGTCATAGTTTCTTATTGTATATTTTTGAAATGGCACAGTTAATCTTATTACAAATTTTACGAGACTATAATATCTAATCTCTATTCTGTTCAGTACTGAGTACGTTCGTAAAATGATAAACACTTCAACAACTGTTAATATCAACAGTAATTTTTTAAAGCTTAGACCGGATTTTGTTCTTATTAATAACGTCTTCTAAACGTTTACATACTACATAATTTTAAACTGTTGTGTTACTGTTTTAGGTTTAAGCTTAGTAGCTGAATTGTATATATTTTCTTTTTTTCTACCATACCAACCTGTTACTAGTATAGATCCATAAATGTGTTGTGTCACAAACAAACAATTAACTACATCCAGAATATTTATACAGTAAATCTTTGTCAGATTTATCTTTCGAACAAAAAATGTGTTATTTACCGGTATTTCTTAAGCTTTAGGCTAATTGCGAAACAGCAGTTGTTTTGTTAACTCATACGTTATTATTTGAAACCACTTGTTATGTAAATATCGTCCCTCGTATATAACATTGTTGACAACAATATCCACACTTGTGTATTTTAAAGTAACTTCTAAATATTATTTTAATGTAATCCGTCTTAGTGGAACAACATCTTCCATCATGTCTATCATCACGATGGCCTATGTACTTCCAATGATGTTGGGAAGAACTTTTGACACTTATCAAAACTCAGCTGGCAGAGATATCTTCACAATCACACCCGAAAATATTACGGTATGTTCAAAAATAGATTTTAATTCAAAGACACTCTCTAGCCATCTACCTATTACGCACGAGATCACAAATAAAAATATATATATTTTTATATTTAAATAGATTAAATTTACTCCTTTAATTCCAGATGATCCGCTGGATTTGTTTGTTTATTTGTTTAAGTTATGCACAAAGCTACACAATGGGCTATCTGTGCTTTGCCAACCACGAGTATCGAAACCCGGTTTCTAGCATTGTAAGTCCGCAGACACACCGCTGTGTCACTGGACGCTTAATATTAAGGTCAGACGATACTCCTCACATGAAGGGATTTTGTAAAATTAAAAATTACATTTTGATTATTATCTTTCATATTTATTTTGATAATTCTAATAAATACGCGCAAACATTTTTGGGTTTTTCAACATTGAAGTTCATAATATAACGAAACTAAAACTAAATATATTATACATTAATAGAACAAAATTTGTTTTAGTTTATCTTCCCGTTTTTAAAATATGGTAATTTTAAATATAAACTACAAAAATGCGTATGTAAATTTACGACAACTACGCCAAAAATCTTTGCACACCTTGTTTTGAATGGTCATTACAAGCTTTTGTAAATTTTTCATGAAATTCGATTCAGCCAATCCTGAGCCTCCCCTCCCCAAATTCCAATCTTCCTCATGGGAGCCACATTAAAACCCAAATATTTATTGTGAGAGAAACAATTCACGCCAATTTAATGTTAGTTTATGGATCTATACTTGGGAGCCATCCAAACTCCTTTGACATCCACACGGGAGATACAATTTGAAAATTTCCAAACTCTGAATTTAGATTATTGTTTGATCGGCTCCTTGCACGTTAATACCAATTTTCAAGTAAATTGGTTCAGACAGACGTAAGAGTCTCTCAAACTCCTTGATCTCCCGTTCTTGGGATTTCCCTAAGAATCTTTCGATAGTTTTCTAAAGAGCTAAAATGCAAAATTTGAAGCCGTTTTTTGAAGAACAGGGAATAACTCAAAAATTAAGTAAACACAGATACGTACAGTCAAGAATGACTATATATATATGTAGTTATTACTTCTTAATATCTCTTGTAAACGATTTAAACTAATTTTATTATATATTTTACTCCAGTAACTGAAATTTATTGGGTTTAATGAATTTAACTTTCTGGGTCTTCAATCAGCGATAATAGCGTGTCCATTTTTAGCAAATATGGTTGTTGTACTTAAATTCGCCATGAACATTTTGATCAGATTTAATGTACTGTATTCAGATTTGATTAGAGTAGGTTTCCTGCCACTTATGAAAGTTAACTTACATCTTATATCTATTATTCAGACGCAATGATATTGTAGTATATCAAAGTAAGTTGAATATAGATCTGAAATGTACTTAATAGGTCATATAATGGGAAGTTCGAATAAGATATGGTACTACAGGACGTTGCTGGACCTTTACTGGCTGAGTTTAAGTTAGGGAATAAACTGCCGGAACACAATACTTATTAGAACTTAACACAAAAACATAGTATGCGTACTTGCTTACGATACGACTATCACTTCTGTATAGAATCAAGATCAGGTTAGGCTTGGATGGGACTAGGAATTAGACTAAATAAATGAAAAGCTTCTATTTATAACGAAACATCGTAATTTACCTAGCGCAACTGTAAT